GTGCTAATGTACAGCTCTCTCTCCCACATTTAAGGAAAATGGAGTTAAAATATTTTATGTTTTTGTTACAATTATTATTATTATTTTACTAAATTATTGGTATTTAGAAGTCATATTGGATCTTAATTAATATAGAGTTAAGTCACATCAGATCCCATAAAAAGAAGTCCTCTTTGTGCTTGTTTCTCCATTTATAAGATTCAAACATAAGATTTTACTTAAAAAAAATTGAGTTCCTTCCATTCAAATCAACAAATAGTTGGTTTTGTTACAATTATTTATAGAATATAAAATAATTATTTGTCCTATTATTAAAAGAAACTGAATTCCTTCTATTCAGATTAACAAATAGTTAGTTTTGTTACAAGGTTAAATGCTAAATTTGGTCCCTCAACTTTAGTGAGTTGCACATTTTTGGTCCCTCAACAATTTTTTGCACTTTTTTGATCCCTCAACTATACAAAATGCACTCCGTTAATCCTTCTGTCAATTTGGGCCGTTAACTCGGCTACATGGCATTTTTTATATTTTTTTTTTGATGACATGGCGAACACAACTTAAAAAGATGCTTATCTGGACTTTCTTTTTTGATGACATGTCATCTTCTTCACGCCAAACCCCTCCAATGGATTCCAGTCACCTGCAAACTGATTTCTCATCTTCATCCTCTGCAAAATCGATCTTAACCCATTTCTTCTTATTCTCTGAATGTTCTCTCATCTCCACTCCATCTGCAAAATCGATCTTAACCCATTTCTTCTTTTTTCGTGAATGCTCTCTCATCTCCACTCCATCTACAGAACCGATCTTAACCCACCCATTTCTTCTTCTTCTCTTTTCTCGGGGAAACTTGAGCTACTGGGTTTCATTGAAACCTCAAACTTGATAGATCTTACCAAATCAAAATAACCCTTCAATAAACAATAACAATCAAACTCAAATCAAATTTCAACAAAAATACAATCAAACTTTAATCAAATTCCAACAAAAATGCAATCAAATTATAAATCAATCTCCAAATATATTAACAACTGCAAATGGAAATCGAAAGAAGAACGAAAAACCAAGAACCAAGCTTTCCCAGCAAAGCTGGGTTCGATTGAAACCCAGCCTTGGCTGGTCGTGAACCCAGCAAGGTTGGGTTTCCACCGAACCTAGCCTTGCTAGGTTCGTCGAAACCTAGATCTGCTGGGTTCCGATGAACCCAGCCTTGGCTGGTCGACGAACCCAACAAGGCTGGGTTTCCACCGAACCCGAAAGAAAGAAAGAGAAAAGAAGAAGGGGAAGAAGAGGGATTGGGAGGGTGAGGGTGAGGATGAGGGTAATAAAGTAATTTTATATGTTTTTAATTAAAATATGTATATTAATCTAT